CGGATCATGGATATCAAGGCTGAAATGTTAGAAGAGTTAAAAAAAAAAAAAACCATGTTCATCATTGAAATAATTTTTTAAGCTGCTTATTAGTCACAGCTTCTTGACCATCATTATATATGCTATCTTTTCTATCTGTGAGAAGTAATAAACCTTTGGAACCTATGCAGGTGTTCTTACAGGAAAGTATACACCAGAAAATCCACCAACTGGTCCTCGAGGCCAGATTTACACTCCTGAGTTTCTAACAAAGGTAGTGACTAAAAGTTTGTGTGTGGGTGTGTATTACTGTTAAATCCCAACTCTATGGCTGAAACATCCTTGTGTTCTGCAGCTCCAACCTCTGTTGAACAGCATCAAAGAAATAGGACAGAACTACAGTAAAACTCCCACACAGGTTCATCCTTGTTATTTTAAAGTCTTTTTACTTGTTCCGACTCATTTCCATCTTGTTCAGCAGAAGCTACATGGTTGTTGTTTGGTCATAACTAACACTAATTTATCAGAACGATCAATGCTTAAATTAAGGTTTTGATCTTTATAGGTAGTGCTGAACTGGCTAGTAGCCCAGGAGAATGTCGTTCCAATCCCAGGGGCCAAGAATGCTGAACAGGCTGCGGAGTTCGCTGGTGCACTTGGTTGGAGACTCACCAGTGATGAGATCAACGAGCTGCGCTCCTTGGCATTGGAGATAAAACCTGTAATCGGTTTCCCTGTTGAAAAGTTGTAAATTGGCACAGGTATCAGCAAAATCAGATGATCAAGTAGGACGAAAGAGGGGAGATGAAGAAAGTAAGAATATAAAGAGATGGTGGACGATGAGATTATTTTTTAATTTAAGGTCCTAAGCCAGCCAACAATATTCAAAATTAATAAATCATTGTCTCAAGCTCTCAGCTGGATAAGGGTGCCGTGGCAATCGCAGCAGAGGGACTGGATTGTACAACTTGATTGAGTAGAAGACTGAGGAGGCGGGCGTCATGTTTACTTTTTTTCCTTCTCCTCTTTGTACTTTGTTGTGACTTCTGAGTTGAATGCGGTAATGGTGCGGAGGTAATTCATCTGGATATTGGCATAGTTGTCTTCACGTTGTCACTTTAAGAACGTGATGTGACATCAATTGATAAAAAATAGAGTGCCCTCCAATTATTATCTCAGAGAAAATCCCATCCTTTTCTTTTTCTCTTTCTTTTTCTTTTTTTTAAAAAATCAATGCTTGAACTAGAAAAACTTGTCGTGTGTGCGTGAAAGGCATAAGAGAATCCGATTTTTTAAAAAAAAAAAAAATTATAAAATCTATTTTTTTTTTCAAAAAACTATGTTGAATCCTGAGATGGAAAAAAAATTAATGCCTCCAATTATTTGATTGAAAATACCAATTTTTTAAAAAAATATATAAAAATTAATTTTAAACATATTAAATTTTAAATAATAAAATTTTAAAAATATAAAAGACTAAAAAATAATGATTAAAAATCTAAAAAGAAAAAGTTTATATCCATAAAAGTTAAACTATTAAACACATCATTCAGGTTATAAGATATGAATAATTTTATAAAAAAATGATAAATTCAGTTTTTTTAATAAAAAATTCAATAAATAAGATTAAAAAAAAATATAAGTCTAAAGAAAGAATCCATGCGGAATAACATGTACTAATTTTAAACATCGAGCAATGATAACTTTTACTCAGATATCCCCAACTAAGAGAACTAGTTTAAAATTATAAATATGAAGAAAAAAAGATTATTGGTGTTGAACTGGGCAATCTCTAGCACACCAGGAAGGTTCAAACGTCCTTGTAGATAAATGAAATCTGACCACCTAATAGCCTCTCACACGTCATACAAACGGTAAAGGAGCTTTCCAAATATGCATTACATTAATATTTTTTTATATAAGGGTATAAAGATTATTTTATTGTGCATTATATAAATAAAAAGATGTTATTTTTCCCTTTAAATTTTGGAATGTCAAGTGGGTCTTTGTGAAATTACTTAATTACCCATAATAAAATGATTTTTTTAAGGAAAAATAGGTATTTCACCGCAAAGCACAAACGAGTTGCTCATTCTTTTTTTTTATTTATTATTATAATCTTTTATCTTTCAATCTCATCCTTCGTTAAAAAATTAGCCTAAATCGGCGATCAGTAATAGCTACATGGAAGAAAAAAAATTACAACCAGAGTATCCATTGTGTCTTGATAGTGTACGTACAGTGTCATCTTCACTGTGGAGAGGCCACACATTTTAGTATTACTTATAATTATAATAATAATGAAAACATAAATACTCGATATTGAGTTTCTTGAATTAAAGGAACTAACTAGTCATTTTTAAGGATGTAATAATAATTCACCACATTTGCTATAACTGATAATCACCTGCAAGTCATCTCCATGATCAACTGGTAGATAGCGATTCAAAGATGAACCTTGTTATTGCTAAATTTAAGGTCACTGTCCCGTCCATCTAATTAATTGTCACATTTCTCATATATTCTACTGTTTAATTGGAAATAACATTTTGGAATATGATTTAAATTGTATTTTTTAAAAAATTATTTTTTAAAAAAAATTATTTTTTATATATTTTGCATCATTTTGAATTATTAATTTTAAAAATAATTTTAAAAATATATTATTTTAATATATTTCAATAAAAAAAACACTTTAAAAAAATCACAACCACAATTCCTAAATATTGAATAATAAAATTTAAAAAATATCAACTACATAAAAAAATCTAAAAAAATAATAATTAAAAATTCAAAAAAAAAATTTAAGCCCACAAAATTTAAATTATCAAATACATGATCCAGGTTAAAAGATATGAATAATTTTATAAAAAAATAATAAATTTAGTTTTTTTAATAAAAAAATCAGATTAGAAAAAAGGAATATAAGTTTAAAGAAAGAATCCATGCGTAATAACATGTACTAAATTTAAACATCGAGCAATGATAACTTTTATTCAGATATTCCCAGCTAAGAGAATTAGTTTGAAATTATGAATGTGAAGAAAAAAAGATTATTGGTGCTGAAATCGGCAATCTTTAGCACACCAAGAAGGTTCCAACGTCCTTGTAGATAAATGAAATCCGACCACCTAATAGCCTCTCACGCGTCACACGAACGATAAAGAAGCTTTCCAAATATGCATTACATTAATATTTTTTTTATATAAGGATATAAAAATTATTTGATTGTGTATTATATAAACAAAAAGATGTTATTTTTCCTTTTAAATTTTGGAATGTCAAGTGGATCCTTGTGAAATTACTTAATTACCCATAATAAAATAGCTTTTTAAAGGCAAAATAGGTATTTCACCGCAAAGCCTAAATGAGTCGCTCATTCTTTTTTATTTATTATTATAATCTTTTACCTTTCAATCTCATCCTTTCTTAAAAAATCAGCCAAAATCGGTCTATATTTTGATCAGTATGAGCTACATGGAAGGAAAAAAATTACAACCAGAGTATCCATTGTGTCTTGACAGTCAAGGTTTCCCATTGTGTCTTGACAGTGTATGTACAGTGTCATCTCCACTGTGGAAGGCCACACATTTTAGTATTACTTACAATTATAATAATAATGAAAAAATAAATACTCGATATTGAGTTTCTTGAATTAAAGGAACTAACTAGTCATTTTTAAGGATGTAATAATAATTCACCACATTTGCTATAACTGATAATCACCTGCAAGTCATCTCCATGATCAACTGGTAGATAGCGATTCAAAGATGAACCTTGTTATTGCTAAATTTAAGGTCACTGTCCCGTCCATCTAATTAATTGTCACATTTTTTATATATTCTACTGTTTAATTGGAAATAAAATTTGAGAATAAGATTTAAATTGTATTTTTAAAAATTTTAACTTTTTTAAAAAATAATTGTTTTATATATTTTGCATCATTTTAATCATTAATTTTAAAAATAATTTTAAAAATAAAAAATATATTATTTTAATATATTTTAATAAAAAAAACACTTTAAAAAAATAACAACCACACCACCCGCCATCAATATCAATCTTATCAACCCTAATTAATCTCATCGCCGTTTGAAGATTATATTACTTTTCCTTCGAGAGTTGGGAGCTTGGATAGGCAGACACAAACACTAATGATGTGATCGTGGCAGAAGAATTTTTAAATGATTGCTAGCCCATTACTGGAAAGTGAACGTATTTTATCAAGTAAACTTTATAGTAAATTATATTTTTAGAAGATATGAGTTATTTTGTGACATTTGATTGTATTTAGGATAACGAGTTTGAAAATATTTTTAATATATGGTCTAGTTATAAAAAAAAGTAAAGCAGAGAATAAGATTTTTTAAGTTATTAACGTTTTAAAATAGTAAAATTGCTTAAAATGATAATTCAGGTGCATTGGATAATATCTCTAATCAATAAACAGTGCTACAGATTCTTTCTTGAACTCTTGATTATGAGAAACTATAATTTATTGTAAACCTATTTTTCTAAATCATAACAATAAAAACTGTCAATTACAACCTAAATCCAACAAGCCACGCTATTGATGATCAGTTGTCTAAAACACTGTTTATAATGCCCTTTTCCCTCGTCAATAAATCCACCCGGTCAATGTAGCAATTTTATTTGAGGGTTAATGCATTATTTTGATAAATTGATATTAAAAATAAAAAAATAATTGTAATATATTAATAAGTTCTGAATTCTATTATTTTTGCTCAGCTATTTGATATTGAGATTATTTTTTTTTTGTTAAATTCAAATTAAATGTTTTTGCTCAGCTATTTGATATTGAGATTAATTTTTTTTGTTAAATTTAAATTAAATTTTTTAGTATTTTTAAATATATTTTAGTCAGCCGAATTTTCAACAAGCTAGCCCCCACTAAAAAAACAAACTCACTGGTCATCTGCCACGTGGAATGCAGTGCAAGTAACTGCAGATTAAAAAATGAGTTGCTTTGTTACAGAATCCTTCCCCTAAGTCTCTTAGTCTGTGTCATGTCCTTGTCTTTCTAACTGGGAGTTAAAAACAGACCCTCCTCTATCTCTCTCTCTCGGGCTAGTCCATTCTCAAATTTCTCTTTACACAGCTTTCTACTGAGACAGAGAGAGAGAGAAGTCATATTGGAAGTTGAAGTGGTTCAGTTGAATTGGTTTGGTCAGGTGTGATTTGATTTCATTTCCCATATGTTTCCTACTTGTGTGCCTTTTAAAGTCCACTTTGTTTGATTCTCTCTGCTTGGTTTCTCTTGCAGGCCAGAATGATGTCTTTTTTTTGCCCCTTTTATCTTCTTCTCTTTCGACTTTCCTTTTCTTGACACAGCTATTTGTGGGTCTTCGAGTTTCTGTAGTCCTTCTTCAAAAGACTGCACCTTTGTTTTCTTGAGGATTCTCCAATGGGTCTTGTTTTCAAGAGTTTCCCTCTTTGACTGGTGCCGATTTTGTCTTCTTCTTTTTCAAGCAGGGTGCTTTGTGTTGCTGATTCTTTCTTTCAGTCTGTCTTTATGATATGCATACAGTTCTCGATACTATTTAATTCCATTTCATGTTCATTTATTATTAATTTACTTGTTGGTGTGTTACATGGTTTCTCCTCGTGTTTTTTTTCTTTTTTCTTTGACCATTTTATAAGACTTCCATAATGACACAGAGCATCATCCCCGTTAGACTGATAATAATTATTAATACTTTTTGTCAAATATTTTAAACTTATCTTCTGTGTTGTGTTTAACAGGATATCTGTGTCTTCTCAGCCATGAATCATTGCATTCCTGATTGGAATCTTGAGGGTGATCTTCCTGTCTCCAATCAGAAGAACCCCATAGAGTGTGTGCTCTATCTAAATTTTGATAATCTGATCTTCAAAGCATATCTATTTTTGTAAAGGTTGTTGATTTTGGCTGCCCCATTTTTTACCTTTTGCAGGCCAGACAAGGAGCTAGTAGAGCTACTATGGCGAAATGGGCAGGTGGTTTTGCACAGCCAAACACAAAGAAAACCACATCCTCACGTTCAAAAACATGATTCACCAACAGTAAGGGGCTATGACTCTACTCTGAATTCAAGTCATTTGATTCAAGATGATGAGACAGTTTCTTGGATTCATGACCCTCTTGAAGATTCCTTTGAAAAGGAGTTCTGTTCCGATTTTTTCTCCGAATTGCCACCACCGCTTTCTGATCAAATTTCAGAAGAAAAGTCGGCTAAATTTGATGCCTCGAAAACTTCACATCAGCAGCAACAACTCAACAACAACAAGCATCCAGTGGTTCCTGAATTTCCAGGAAACCCAATGCCCCCTCCAAGAATTCAAGTCCAGGAGCAAAATCATGTTAGTTTAGGAGGATTTGGTAAAGCTGTTAATGTTAACTTTTCTCAGTTCTCAGCTCCCCTAAAAGTGGGTGATTTTAGATCTTCAAGTCGACAATTTGGAGGACAGGGGTCTGGAGATTTTTCACAAGGAGAGGCCAGGGAGTTCTCTGTGGTGACAGTAGGGTCAAGCAACCAAACTCCACGTGACCGTTTCCTGAGCCGTGCTTCTGGTAATGCTATTGAGACCGGTACAGGCTTGTCTGCCGGACCCTCCATAGATGATCCGCGAAAAGTAATCTCCCAGAGCGAGAGAGGCAAAGCTGATCAGACACTTGATCCTACTGCTACTTCATCCTCAGGTGGGTCAGGTAGTAGTCTTGCTAGAACATGTAAGCAATCTGCAGTACCTAGTCGTGGCCAGAAAAGAAAGACCATGGACGCGGAGGAATCTGAGTGCCAAAGTGAGGTGAATATACAAACTCCCTCTCCATCTGTCAGTAATGATGTTATACGTTGCATGATGAACATGAATTGTGAATGATATAGGATGCCGAACTTGATTCAGCAGTGGCAAACAAGCCAGCCAAACGATCAGGATCTGCCCGCAGGAGCCGTGCTGCTGAAGTGCATAACCTCTCAGAAAGGGTAGGAATATCTGATCTCGTTGCATTTCGAGATTCAAGATTGTATCAGTAGTTACTCAACTGTTGTCCATTTAAATGCAGAGACGGAGGGATAGAATTAATGAGAAGATGAGAGCATTGCAAGAGCTCATACCTCACTGCAACAAGGTCTTCTTTTCTGATCTTCATAGTTCAAGTTTTACTATCGATCTCTGCTACTCTTTTCTTTGCATGTATAAGACATTTTTTTATCTAATCACCTGTTGTTAGCCCGAGATTTTTACCGTGGTATGCAGTGTTCGAAAGAAAAGGGTTAGCATATTTATGAAATGATGGTTGAATAAAGAATAAAAGTTAAGACGGATATGTGGCAAGTGAGTAAAGGATAGCATTGCCAATGGGAATTTTAAGGGAAAACAGGAGTAGATGAGAGCAAGTCCACTGATGTGAAAAATGGGCATGATCACCTTTGCTTTTTGAGAATATATACAGGGATGGTGGCATAAAAGTTGTCCAAATTTTCCTGGTTTTTAGCCAAAATAATCAATCAAACGCTTTTAACTTAATTATTCCATAACAGGAGTAAATCAGAGAGCGCATTCTCTCCGTACTTTATTCTCTTACTTAGAAAATGTTCCTTGTTCTCTCAAGTTAAGCTTGTCCTAATGTTACAGACAGATAAAGCATCAATGTTAGATGAGGCAATTGAGTATCTGAAGTCACTTCAATTACAACTTCAGGTTTGGTAGATATTCTTATAAAAATCAAAGTTTGAGCTTATCATTCTTCCTTCAATTCAAATCCATTGACGATTTTTTGGGTTTTTCAGGTAATGTGGATGGGAAGTGGGATTGTCCCAGTGATGTTTCCAGGAGTGCAGCATTTCATGTCCCGCATGGGAATGGGAATGGGTCCGCCTCCTTTGCCTTCTATGCAAAATCCTATGCATTTGCCTCGGGTCCCACTTGTTGATCAATCCATTTCTATGGCTCCCAGACAGGACCGGGCAGTAAATTGCCAAACTCCAGTACTGAATCCAGTTAATTATCAAGATCAGATGCAAAATCGTACTTTCTCTGATCAGTATGCACGTTTCATGGGCTTTCATATGCAAGCTGCTTCTCAGGTTTTGTGATTCACCTCGTTTCATGAGATGATCATTTGTGTTTATGGCTTTTCAATAATGTAAATTGCTTTATGATCTCGTAATCAGAAAAAAAAAAAAAAAGTTCAGTGATATAATAGTGTTGCTGCATTGGTTTGGTCTTGCAGCCCATGAATATGTTCCAGTTTGGCTCGCAAACAGTACAGCAGGACCAAATGATGGCACCACCAAACAGTGGCGGTGGACCCTTGAGTGCTGGAACTGCAGCCAGTGATGCTCCTCCGAGTGGCAAGACGGGTAAGCCTTTCTATTCTCTTCACCTTCCATGGAAAAATAATTTTAGTTGCTAGGAGGAGAACATCCCAAAGTTTTGAATTTCTAGACGAAGAATTCCCTCGAGTCCACTTTATACGGTGTCTTTGTTAGACCATATTCGGCTTCCTCGAGTGATTGATAGTGATGCAACCTGAGGGCATTAATTTGATGTGAGAGAAACAAATACAGCCATTTACTAGCTTATCTTTAATCGCCATCCTTTCATACAATGAATGGTGTAAAACCTACACGAATGAGGTTAGCCACAAAAATCTTTTGTCATTCTGCACTACTTACAGTCATATGGTCTGTGTATTTAGTGTCATTTTTCATGGCCTCCACCAGTTCCCTTCCTGGTCTCCCATGGCCCCAGGACAAAACTGGTCACTTTATATAGTACTTTCCTTCTTCACGTACCTCTTTCCCTCCGCGTGTTTTCTTGTTTAACTTTTTAATGGGAGTTTTCTCCGCTTAACTTAGCTAGTTAACTCAGCTGGCATCTGCGTTCAAATCTGATTCACGCCAGGGATAAGGAAAGAGAGTCAGTCATTCACAGTAGCTCAAGGCCTAAAAGGCTTCCCTGGGAGCTGAAAGGGAAAAAAATTTAATGCCACAAGTGCCCCCATCATTTAAAGCTGATCTGACAGGTTTTTTCTCGTCGATGTGAACAGGTTAAATGGCGATATGAATTCTGATCGGGTGTTTCTGGTCCCCTGGACGGATAAATTAGGAGAATTGCTGTGCGGTGGATGCAACTTCCTGTTGGATATGTGAAGCATTTAATTCCTCACCAATCATCTGCCTACTACTGAAATAGATGCGGTCATATTTTCTCTGTACATGTCCCTGAAATATAGCTGTTACCATGTTCTAAATATCTCCCATCAACATCAAACGTGTTTTGTAACCATTTTTTATTGAATGAAATAGTTACGTATAAGTGTTGCCGCTGATGGGATGGAGACACCTCTCTTGTGTATGTGTGTATATATGCGCGCGCGTGAGAGAGAGGGGCCACTAGTTCTTCGGTAAAATGATGAGAATGTCCGGTGAGCATTGCAAGCGCAAGCATGCCAGTGGAGAGCTCCTCCTCTTCTGCCGGGAGCAGTCTGTCCTGGCGACTGACAGAACATCCTGGCAAAACAAAAACGGTTTATGCTGTTTCACAAGCTGTACCTATGCAAAAGAGTCACTGCCAAAAAAAAAGACTAATACAGATGCTGATTTAGTAACAGGTTGTGTATACATCAATCTTTTAATATTTGCAACAGGTTAAGGCAACGCAAGATATGCTGTAAAAAATAATATTGGTGCGTGAATACTTTTTTTTAAACAAAAAAAAACTCAAGCAAGCATTATACCAATCTTATGAGAAAAACCTTTTATTCTAAAAATAAAAACCTTACTTCGTTCTTCGAAAACCCTGTCATTAATTTTTTAAATCTCGCCGGCGAATCTATGCTCCCAATTAGGGACGACAACCATGACCAAAGAGCATATTAACAAATATATTAGAGGATTTCATCTTGCAAGTAACAAATTGATGCATCAAAGATTGCAGGTATAATTAAAAACCTGAGAGATTATATTGGTAATTTAGAGAGAATATGTATTGTTTTATTAACAATTCCATCAATTTATTATAAATTATTTGTTAAATGTGGCTTTCATCGCATCCTAATATTTATTATTTTTAATTTAATGTTCTTTTATCTTCATAAATCCTATCGGCTGACAAAAACAAAAAACCATGCAGATAAATTATGTATTTCCCGCCGTAACTTTCCGTCGTGAACTCAGATTTAAGTTCACAATATCTGAACGGAGGAGCATGTGTGCTCACACAAAACGGCAGCTACGTTACGGCAAGATGCAGCATCAAAGGCTATAATTTGACGACTGGTGTCGAAAACAAGATCCCAAATTCGAAATAAATCAGCAATCTATATTCTCTTCATTTATTTTGTAAGTTATACTCGAGCTGTTATTTTCAACATGAAGAATTATTAATTTGCATGTAAAACGTTCTTGATCTCCGGCGGTGAACCTGCAAATTGACTGAAAAGTTAGTGGGGGCAGTATCAAGATTAATTAAAGATGGCCAACTAACTAGAGGATGTTAGATGCAGTGCATCTACATCACCACGTTGCTTTGCAAATGGTCCCTCGAGAAGAGCAGACATGTCTTTGTGGTTGTGGGGACTTTGTCTTTGTTATAAGAATTTCCTCTCTTTCCTCGTCATTGTTCTTGGATGCATATAATGCAAATGGAGTGTGGACGAGGGCGCAAGATGTATTAATTTTCCTTTAACATAATAAAAAAAATATGTAAGTTATTAAAAATTATTTGATATTGTTATTAAATTTTACTATCAATTTTAAAGCCTTATCTAACTCTTTATTTAGCACAAATTTAAAATCAACATATTGATTTAATTAACTTGATAGATCTAATATCATTTAAGATGAAATGTAAAACAAAAACTGATCTAATATCATTTAAGATGAAATGTAAAAAAAAACTGATGATAAAATTAAAAATATATATATAAAATTAACAATTTATAAAAATTCTAACCTAATTTTTTGTCTTATTTAAAATTTAAAATTAAATTATATAAAAATTATCATGATATAACTAAATCAACTTGGTTGATCAAAAAAATGATTGGTTGATTAAAAATTAAAGATAGAACTAACAAAAAAATAAAAAAAATAGTTTAGTCTCACTATTTATTTGATCTAGATTTAAAATTAAGAAAGAAAGGAAAAAATAAAAATAAAAAAACAAGAAGAGCGCTTTCCCTTTGAAATATTTACCGAAAGAAAATTGTATTTGGAAAGATTTTTTTTATATTTACTAATTCTTCGAATTAGTTATTATCAAGTTACATATATCACTTTTATTATTCTAAGATAAAAAAAAAAAAGATTAAATCTAACTTGAGTTAAAAATTAAGTTAATTAATTGAGTTAAATCAAGTTTAATTTAAAATTAAATTAAGGGTTAAATGTAGACGGCACGAGACGTTAGAATTTATTGTAGAAAGTGATGGAGAGGTGATTAAGTAAATCAAGAAATTCAGGGAAGTAGGGAATGTACTAATTGCAACACAGCAAGAAACTGTTGTTCTTTGGTTTTGTTAATGCATACGAGACATCCTCCATATTTGACTCCAAAACTTGGTCGGTATGCGGCACATGCATCACATGCCCATCACATCAATCTTTTGATTTCCGACGATTTACGGATGTTTTTATCAGAAAAACGAAAGAGAAAGAGAAACCTTTATATGGCTCACTAAGTATCAAACCTGCACTCGCCCCGCATGCGAACACAGAATCCGCTCAACCTTATGAGTGGACTGATCTAGATTTATTAAAAAACTAGCTGGTGTAACGGCGTAGCTAAACCTGATTAACATAAATAAATTAGTGTTTTTTTTAAATATAATTTTTTATATATTTTTATAGTTTATTATAAATATTTTTAAAAACTTACTATATAAATATTATAAAAATATTTTATTTTTTAAATATAAAATGTAAAACTCTTTAGTATATATATATACTTTATATTACCCAAAAAAATTATATTTTATAAATGAGGGATTTGAAACTTTTATATATATATACAATAAAAAAATTATGTTTTTTTAATATAAGATAAAAGATTTTTAAAAATTTTATTATTTATAATATATATTGTCTAAATTCATATGAATTTTTTTAAAAAAAATTCTTATAAAATATTAAAATTTTAAATATTTTTTAATGTGTCAAAATTAACATATAAAACTCAGTCCCTTAAAATCAATCCCAAACCCAATTTAATAAATATAATTTTTCCGCCTTCGTGTTCGGTTTTGTAAAAGATTCAGTATTTTAAATATCAATATTATCTCTTAGATTGTCTGTTTTAATTGTAATTTTTATTATTATTATTATTATCATCACCACTAAAGTTTTATTTGGTGGTTTTATAGTATTATAAAGCTAGTTTTTGTATTAAAAAGAAGTGCTTGGCAGGCGATAAATTTGTAGCCACCCGAATAATAATGGATTGACCAACCACCCCCCCGCCCCCCACGTGAGTAGAATTTTTTTTTTCCACGTTACACAAGTATTATTTCTAACCAGCTATTTCAACTGTGCTCCAATGCATGTCGTGAATATTTTTTTTAAAAAAAATAGCTATACATGTTATTTCAATATATCTTCTTTTTACATAAAAAATATAAATAAAAAAATATAATATTTAATTAAATAAATTAATAATTATCTATATAAATAAAAATTATTAATAATAATAACTAAAAAATTAAAAAATAAATATAAATCAAGATATTTAATTCTATAAAATAAAATATTTTTCTCGTTTTCTATTGAATTTGTTTATTGAAATTAATAAAAAAAAATATAAACATAAAACTCATTAAATAAATAATATTATGGAATACTAAATATATTAGAAATGTTATTTTAAAATAAATATTTTAAAAATTATATATTTATATAAAATAAAATAAAATCTTCAAAAAATAAATACAAATAAATAATTTTTAATTAAAAAAACCTATAAAACCTTGTGGCCCAGCGACCTGTGTCATTTGATGAATGCACTTCAACAACTATTTCATGTCCGTCTGCCATCCAACAAGCCATTATTACGCTTCAAACGCAACTTCTTCGACATTACCCTCGTCAGTTGACCGTAAAGTAGATTGACTATCATTTAAAAAAAAATATTTGATAACAAGAAGAAAAAAAAACCAATCTCATAAAAGAAACCAAAATAAAAAAATAAGAATAAAATAAGAATAAAAATCAAAATAAATATTAAATTAGAGGACACCAAAATAATTTTAATTAAAGGGATAAATTGAAAAGAAAAAAGCTTTAACAAAAAAAATAAAAAAAAATGAGGCCTAAGTCAAAATGAAATATAACAACATAAATATTGATTAAATTAATGAAATTGAAAATTAATAAAACTCAAAAAAATCAAAAAGATAAAAACCGAATTGTAAAAATCAGACATAAATTATAATTTAAGAATTAAATTAAAAACATAAAACACTTTTTTAAAAAGGGCAAGGGTGCAAATAAAAAATAAAAAACAGAAGAATTAAAATTGAAATACTAAAAAAAAAAACATGAATGTTTTCTATAAAAGAGAGAAAATGAGAGGGAACAACCACTAACAACAAACCACTCATCATCCATCTCTATGTATCATACCAACAAAAAAATACATGATAATGCTTTTAATGATGTGACAAAATCGTAGGTTTAGCTGTCGAATGGCATTACAAGCGCCTTCCAAATAATACAGACATAACCCATGTACTGATGTGTAATAAACATACTCCAACAATTTTTTATAATAAAAAATTATGTATTCAAATTAAAAATACAAAAACACCACTCATGTCTTGGAAATTACAAAAAAAATGATGAAAGGATAAAAATAACCCTTTGGACACATGACTTCCATTATTATTATTATTATTTTTGTAGGGTAAAATTTTTTTTTTGTTGTATTCAAATAAGTGAAAAGATAAATATATCATTAGTCAATAGTCCTAATTTTTTTTACTTGTGAGTAGATAAGTAATTTTATAGTTTTTTTTTTTAATATACTCTTTAACAATCTTTTAATAAATAATAAGTCATTGAGAAAGACTAAAATGCCCCCAACACCAAGGCTTTTTAAAAGAAAATTAAGTAAAAATATAATTTCATTATAGGAATCAATCCACAGTATTTATGTCTGGTGTTCCAATGAAAAATTCATTACTGAAATTTGTTGCTGGACAACCAAACGTATGTGATGCTCACTAAGTTTCTTAGGAGGTGCAGACTACACTAGGTTACGGATCCTTCGAACTTGAAAAATATGAAGATAATTTCATTAATTATAGCAATTCAAAATAACTTGAGTATAGCACTA